CCAGGAACTCCGGGAGTGGAGCAGTATGCAGGACTGGGAGTGGAGCAAGGAGCAGGACCGGGAGCTCCGGGAGAGGGGCCGGGAGCAGGACCAGGAACTCCGGGAGTGGAGCAGGATCCAGGACTAGGAGTGGAGCAAGGAGCAGGACCGGGAGCTCCGGGAGTGGAGCAGGATGCAGGACTGGGAGTGGAGGAGGAGGCAGGACCGGTAGCTCCGGGAATGGGGCCGGTCCAAGTGCCTCCCTGGCACTGCCTGGGATGGAGCAGGGAAGCATCTTTGGGGCCTCTCCGGAGAAGAGAAACCTTCTCCCCTCCCGACATCCCCGTCCTGCTGCAGGCACCGAGGGCTCCCCTCTCGCCAGCCCCTGGGATGCTCCCATGTCCCAGCTCCCAGCCTCAGTGTCCGAGACCCAGGGACAAGGACGATGATCCGAGGTGAACCCAGAGAGGGTCTCCCCGTCCAGCCCGTGCCCCCCGTGCACGCTGTGATCATCAGGGCAGCATTTGGGGCCAGGGAGGGGAGGCAGAAAGACCCCTCATGTGCAGAGCCCTCAGTACCCGCCTGCGGCCAAGGAACCGATGCTTTGGCCGCGCGTGTGTGTGCATGCACGAAATACAAAGCAAAAGTGCCACTAAAGACGCTGTGACAGTGCCAACCCACTGGCCCCCACGTTGCTGGATGGGCTGCCCCCGTCTCGGAGCCCTGGGCATGAGCAGGGAGGGATTCGGAGCCTTATTTTGATTCCTAGCCGAAGGACGCGGCTCCGGGCCCCTGTGCATCCCGCGGTGGCCTGAGGGCTCCTATCTCTGTTATGTCTCCTCCAAAGGGCCAGATCAGCGAAAGCGGCGCAGAAGGAATGGGGCAAAGGCCGAGCAGGTCCCAAATCCCCATCTGCAGCCTGCTCCCACTCCATGGGTCTTTCCAGGCGTTATCCAGGTGCTCTTCACCTCCTGTCGCTTCTCTGGATTTAGGTGGCATCAGGGAGAGCTCCTAGGGATCCGGGAACGGTGTTGGATGATGCCTTGTGACCCCCACCATTGCCTCAGCAATGAGCGGCACCGCTCGGCCCACATCTGGCTCCACCTCTGGATTTTCCCTAGAACCCATGCGAACGCAAATCCCGGCACAGCCAGGCCCAATCCATAGCCCACCCTTCCCTGGAAACGTCAGCGTGTGCTCCGGAGCCTCCTTCCCCACCTTCCCATCACTTCCTTCCGAGCGCCTCCAGGAAGCGGCAACAAGTTTGTTATTGTTAGGGGGGGTTGTGTGATATTTTTGTTTTCTTTTTTTTCCCCATCATCTCCCCAACGCCAAGTTTGCAAAGCCTGAAGCAAAAAGGAGAGCAAGAGCCTCACGTATCTCCTGGACGTTCCAGTTCGCAGAAGAAAAGGTTTAAAATAGACCATTAGGGAGCTCCGAGCCAAAGATAGAGCGGGAAGGCCGGAGCCAGGGAAAAAAAACCTGGCTTTGCGACGGGTTCACTTGTCTTCGCTTGAAAGGTTGGCAGATCCCAGGCCTGGGCTCGCACCCAAAAGTTCAGCCTGTGCTCTCCCAGCTCCCCAGCACATGAGCAGGAAGGAGGATCCTCTCCGGGGAGCCGGGATGAGTCAAAGCGAGTTGTTAGGGCGGCTTTCCAGGAAAGAAAGACTCGGAGAAAACCTGCCCGGGTCCACGGAGGGTCAGGGAGGGCAAGATCCCGGAGAAACCTGAGCGCCTGGAGGTGTTGGGAGCCCAGCTGCATCCGTGGGCTGCGGAGACACCGAGTTTCCAGCCGCTATTGCAGGAAGAGGGGCTGCTCATGGCTCGTTTATCAGTTATCCATGAAAGTCTTCCCCAAAAATAATGTAATGAGGGGAAAATTCCAGGAGACAGAAAACGTTTCCGGTCAGAGGTTTCTGTGCTCTGCATTTGCAAACTGTGTTTGCCCAGGTTGCCTCTTGCAGCTGGACATGCAGGGCGATGCTCAGGCTATGGATACATAACCCAGGTGTAAAAAAAGACCCCAAAATTGCCAGGCTTTGGGTCTGGACACGCAGGGCGATGCTCAGGCTATAGATACATAACCCTGGCATATAAAAACAGCCCAAAATTGCCAAACTCCGGGTAAGTCCGAAGGCTTGTCTGTGTTTCGCATATCTGGAATAAGCCCGGGACGAGGGTGATGCTCAATCCAGCTGCGGAGGATGCTCATCACTCCGGTGATGAAGCTCCTGCCTCTTCAGCAGTCCATAAACCGCTCCAGAGAGGGACAGGGAGCAGAAGGGATTCACTCGCATGTGTTTTTTTTTCCAGAGAAGCCTTTTTGCCGATGCCCTGGGCACTTTCCAAGCCAGGACATGGGACAGGAGGGGTTGGAGATGCAGATAGGGGTTTGGAGAGCCCCAAACCTGCTCGTGGTGCAGCACATCATGCACCTGCATGCGAGGGAGGCCGTGGAAACACGATGGGACGAGGCTGCCCTCTGGTGACACTTCTGCGTTTTTCCTTTTGCTCTGGAAATGAGGTTTGTGCAAGAAATAAAAACATTTGAAAAAAATCGAAAGGCAAAAAAACCCCAACAAAAACAAATTCGAGTGCGGGTGATGTCAGCTGCCTTTGCAAGCAGCCTCACATTTGTCATCTGTGCCCTTAACTCCAGCTTTTCCTATGAGATGCCAGGTAGGAATTATGGTTTTCCACGGTGCAGGGAAGTGGCTTTTAACACTGTTTTTGCAGACTTTGTGCTAGGAAATGCTAAGGGAGAAGCCACGGGAGCCCTCTCGCCACTGAGCCCATGGGTTTTCCATGGTGCTTTGGAGTTTATACGAGGCCAATGGATTTTGCTACTCAATTCCCTGTTCCAGACCAAGCATTTTGCTCACGCAGGTTTGCAGCGAGCTAAACACATCTCTGCATTTACCTGAATCCAAGTTTCCAACCTTTGCAACCAAGACGTTTTCCCCAGCGCAAAGCCCGGATACTTTCCTGCAGCATCTTCCTTGCTGCCTGCTGGGTTCCATTAGCAGCAAAACTAATCAAATTACTTGTTCCAGCCGCAAAAAGCAATCCTCAGATACGTTGTGCCGACTTCGTTGTGCATCCCCATGAACTCCTAAGCGTTTGCACCCTCCTTGCGGAAGCAAAACCTGCTTTGCAGAAGCAAAACCCGGGAGGACCCGGTTATTGCTTTCTGCAAGGCAGCACTGACACCTAGTGGCATTTTTTTTTTTCGAGGGGCTTTCAGCTAGTTTGTCCCATATCTCCCTTCAATATTAATATTTTGCTGCCCACCCCGCAGTCACGGTGAGTTTTTTGCAATTCCCGTTTGCATCCCAGAGCTGCTGATGGAAAGCAGCGCTGCCGCTTGCGATGCCGGCACATCCTCCCACATCTGAGATGCAGCGGATATTATTTTTCTCTCCCCGTCATGCAAAAAAAAAAGCACTTTAAAAAGCTAAGCAGTAACTTGAGCCTTGGCCCCATGTAGCTCGTGGCTATTTCCAGTCGCTGCTGGGTTTTTACTATATAGGTAGCGATGGGGCTTTTAAGTGGGGATAATAATAGTGAGGCAGATGTAAATAGGTGTTCGCATAGAGCGGCCTTTAACCCTCCGTCTTGGCCGGGATTTGGGTTTGCCAGGTCCTGGGAGAGCGGGTATCCCGGGATGCCAAGCGTTGCTTGATCTTCCCAAGCCCCTGTGCTGTTTTCCCTGCTGTTTCCAAAAGCTGGATAGGAGCCCCCAGGGTAGGGAGATCCCGGGACATTGCTGCACCAGGGGGATCCAGAGGCCGGGAATCGCCTGGGAAGACACCGGCACCATCTCCATAGCGGCGCCATCTCCACCCTGGCTGCGGGTCCCCACGGGGGACAGCGACTCCCTGCCCGTCCCCAGAGCCGGGAGCCCGCGCTGCTTCCACGGGGGACGTTTCCCGGGAGCCGAAGGGGTTAACGCTGGGAGAGCAACAGGCTGGAGTTGACACTTGGAGGCAGGCGGCGCCGCCGGCTCCCGATTGGCCTCCAAGCCCATCCAAA